CATTAAAACTAACTTTTCCGATGGATTTTTTAGGTCCATCCATAGTTCTACATTATAAGGTTGCATCCTTATATAAACTTTTTCCTTTTTTTAATGTCTGAAATAACTATTTATAGAACTTGTAGACATGTAAAGCTCCTTGGTCCTAAATCCCTAAGCATCCACTTGGGTGCTTCCTCAAATAATAGGAACAGCCCCGAAAGTTTAGGCACTCTACAAGGAAATTTCAAATTTTAAAAGTAAAGAAACGGTGGATCCCAACTGGATGTTTAGCGCCTTCTACGCCTGCGTTACAACCAACATATATTGACTTGCTTGAAAGTCTACGGAGGTTTGCTGAGGGTCCAAGTAAGGTATTTGAGGGGCTACCGAATAAAGTCATGAAGGAAATAGGATGTAAAGTCGACGGGATTGATGATGAGGGAGTGGAAGGGTCATCGGGCTGTCAGGATAAAGTTACGGGTTTATCGGGCTTGTTGTACTCAACAATACTATGTAATTGGGCTGTCTTGTCATTGGCGGTAAGAGGCGGTGAAGGTTTGCTATCTAAAGTTTTTCCTTATCTCCCTTATTGCAGCTTAGAGCGAAAAATTCCATCGGGAAGTCTAGCAAAGGGGAAGCACTTTTGAGAGAGATGCAGAGACATGAAGTGGCATCTCAGGTAGTGTTTGCTCTTCTCATTGCCATGTATCCATTGTGTTTTCTCAGGGCTGTCAGGAAGAAGCACATCTCTCAACGACTGCCTTTTGATCCAGTTGCGATTAACACTCTGGCTTTGGTAGTTATAGAAGAGGATGTCGAGCCAATTGAGGAGATGGAGGCAAACGAGAATGTAGAACCTGTGGTGACCTCTACTGAGGAGGAGAACAATCTTCCGAAAGATTGAAATCTAGCTCTAGCTACTTTGAACTCAGAGGATGCTACCCCACTCTCTATTATCAGGGAGGAGCAGCCTTTGCTCTCCAAGGTTAAGCCAGACTTCTCAGAGGCGGATGATGATCACGCTGATGAAGGACATGATTATGCACCAAATCCTTTGCTGGACGATGACAGTAAGGCAACTAAAGAAGTAGTGAGTTCTATGGTGTTTGATAGCGGTACGGACTTCGACCTTCCCATAGGGGTCGTTTTTAAGGATCTTATGGAGAAGCTTAAGGCGGAAAAAATCCAGAGGGGCTGGTTGAAGAAGCAAAATCATGGTGCTAGGGATGGGGGTGTCTCTGATGTTACTCACATGAAGGACGTAGCATCTAAGAAGAAGAGGGGTAAAAGCCCTGTGAAGGGCATGCGATCGTCTGCGAGACTAATTGCATGTGGAAAACAGGCTAATGCAGGTGGTGTGGTGACCAGAGACGTGGAACTTAATGAGGTCGAGTCCTCTTCTTGTTCATCGTCATCGGAGGAGAGTGATGGGGAAGCTATAAAGAAGGCACTGCTGCTTGAAGAATTCTATTTTGGGCCAAAGGAGGATGGCTCAGGTTCTTCTCAAGCTTAATTTCTTATGTTAGTATTGTCTTGGAACGTAAGGGGTCTTGGTGATCCCAAAAGAAAAAAAGGTGTTTTGTTTCTTGTAGGTAAATATAGACCTACTGCTCTAATTTGCAAGAAACCAAACTCCCTAACCCTACTTTGTCTGGGGTTAGGGAGGTGTGGGGTCATAGAGCAGTAGACTTTGTGGGTATTGATGCAGTAGGACAGTCAAGGGGGATTTGGATTTTATGAGACCCATTTATTTTGCTTTCCTTTTCAGTTGTTAAAAAAGACTTTTTCTTACTTGTTGGCTTTGTGGGTCCTCAAGCTGATTTCCAATGGGGGCCCATGAATGTTTATGGACCACAAACTTCAGCTCAAAAAGTTTGTTTTGTTTCTGACATGTCGGAGGTTATTGCACTGTTTCAATTTCCTATTTGTAATGGGGCGATTTTAATTTTACAAGATGGCAAGAAGAAAGTCTTGCTGGGGGGTTCTATTTTGCCTTCGATGCGTTTATTCAATTGTTTTATTGAAGAAAATGCTCTTATTGATTATCCAATAGTAGGGGCTAAATACACTTGGACCAATGGAAGCTCTGCTGTGCTTTCTATGTAAAAAATTGACAGGAGATTGAGTCTATGATGAGGAACTTCCTTTAGATAAGAAAAGGCTCCACCTTCTGCGATGGGATAGGGTTTGCCCACCAAGGGAGGAAGGAGGCCTTAGCATCAGAAAGATCAAGTTGGTTAATTCTGCTCTGCTATGCAAATGGTGGTGGAGGAGTCTGACTCTCAAAAACCATCTCTGGTACGATGTGCTCATTTCAAAGTATGGTGTTGATAAATTCGGCATGTGGCTAGGGACAATGAGAGGAACCTCAAGTATATCAGCTTGTTGGAAGGCTATTCAGTTGTATAAAGGACTCATCCATAGAGATATTAGAAGGTGTATAGGCAATGGAATTAATATCTCCTTTTAGCATCACAAATGGGTAGGGGATTCTTCACTGAAATTACTTTTCCCATTGCTTTTTCAAATATTGGTTAATCAAGACGCATCTGTCTCAGCCAATTACATGCCGAGGTACCAAATAGTCTGGAATATAGATCTTCCATATAATAGAATTCCTGATTTGCTCTTCTCTTAACTTTTTGACCTTCTTAAGATGCTGGAAGATGTTTATATTCCTTTGAATGCAAATGATGAACTGGTGTGGGAAATTGATAAAAATGGCCTTTTTTTGGTTAAAAATCCATGCATTATTTGCTCTTTCACGATAGGTTAAGATAGTATATGCTTATTCTTGCTAGGACTTGGAAGTGGCCTCTTCCTTTGAAGGTTCAAGGATTTTTGTTGTTGGCGGCCCAAGATCGAGTGCTCACTATTGATAATCTCATTAAGCATAGAAAGATTTTACCAAATATTTGCCTCTTTTGTAAGGAGAATGGGGAGTTAGATAACCATCTATTCCTACATTGTACCTTTGCTAGCCATATTTGGAGATGGTTTTTCGTGAAGTTGGGAGTTGTATTGGTAATACCCCTCTCAGTAGTAGGGATAATAGAGGGCCTCTCGGTTCTATTTCCGAAGATGGGGGCTATTCCTTGGAAAATATTTAGAGGAGTTATTCTTTAGGAAATTTGGAAAGAGAGGAATAAGAGAGTCTTCGAAAGGGTGACTTTGTCTTGTGAAAAGGTCTTGGATAGAATTCTGCACTGCATTTGGTCTTTTCTTTCGATTACTCCGGGGGGGCAGGATATCACTGAATTAGATATTAGAAGAAATTTAGGTGATATCACCAGATGTAGGCCTATAGGAAGATGGTTGTCACCGCAACAGAAATTAAATTTCGATGACAGCTCGATAGGCAACCCGGGTGTATCTGGCTTTGGATGAGTAATTTGAGATTGGAATGGAAATATGGTTCTTTCTTATGCAGGTCCTCTTGGTTTTCAGACTGTTAACTTTGCTGAACTCTCTGCCCTTCTTTTTGATTTGCATACTACTGTGGATAGGAAATTGGGGCATGAGTTCATTCTAAAAGGGGATTCTCTTAATGTGATATTGTGGGATTCTCCCGTGGGAACTGAAACCGTGCTGTTGCAAATCTTGGATTTATTCGCTTCCCTCTCTATTTCCTTTGTTCACGTTTATAGGGAGGCGAATGCCTTGGCAGATTTCCTTGCCAAAGGTGGTACTACTCTTTCTGATGTATCAATTTAAGAATCTGTAATTTCATTCTAGATCAATAAAATGTAGTGAACTTTCTATCAAAAAAAAAAAAGCATCCATGCCAAGGCAATCAAAAAGAGTAAGTATGGGTAAGTTTATAGGGAGGCGAATGCCTTGGCAGATTTCCTTGCCAAAGGTGGTACTACTCTTTCTGATGTATCAGTTTGTAATGAGGCCTTACAAACCAAATAGGTCTGTAGAGGGTCATTTTAAGAGTTAAAAAAGTTATTTAAAAAGTAAGTATGGGTAAGTTTGAGGAAAATAAAGCATCTTTTGAATTTTAAAATGAAAAAAAAATGTATAAGGTTGTAGAATTAAGGTGCACGTCAAAAATCCACCGCAAAAGGTTGTTTTGATATTGAAAAACCTTCTAATTTATCATCTCGATATCTACATGTATGAATACTGAAAAGAAAAATGATCATGAGTTCTAAAGATAGTGTATCTTGTAACACATCATCTGAACCATTCATTTTCAAGATTTTCATATTTTTAAAAATCTACTCTATTTAAACTATTTTTGGAGTTTAAAATTTCATTATTAGAGATAAAAGTAAATTACCAGGCCACCCTAAAATTTTTTATTAAATTCATATAAAATTTAAAGGTTCATCTTACTTTAATTTTTTGAGGTTGCAGCCTTATGCAAACCTCACCCTTTAAAAATAAAATAAAGTGATATTTTTGATAATTTATCAATTATCTTTAAAAGGGTACTTGCGCCATTTCCATAAAGAAGGGCCGTTACCTAGCTGTCTTCCTTCAAGTTGGTAATAATTAGTTAACCCAAGGGCCAGTTTCGAAATATTTGAAGAAATGAAATCCCCAGCGCGAACGACTTGGGTCTTTCTTTCCCGATACTACCCTTCATTTCTATTAGTTATTTCCTAACGAGAAACCGCTGTGAAAGGGCAGGATGAAAGAATTGAGAGAGAGAGAGAGAGAGAGGTACTTCCTTTCTCTCTCTACTTTTTCTCTCTAAGAAATGAGAGAGAGGTATTCCTTTCTCTCTCTACAGTCACCCAACAACCACTTTGGGCGTGTGTTGAAAGACAATAAGAACCCGAAAAACTCTCTCTCTAGGCCCTGCTTCTTCTCTCTATGCGAAACTCCTCCAGTTTCGGTTGCAACAGTAAAAGGTTATGAGCAGGTTGAATGGCTGCTTCTTTGCTTAATGATGGTGGTTTCTAAATGAGAAGAAGAGCGAGAGTCTTATTGGGAGGGTGGTTGAAGGTAGAGAGAGAGAGCAGAAGCTATGGAGATGGAGCCACAGATGATGGCGGCTCTGAACCAGGCTTCTTCTGATATAGTCCATGGCATGGCTAAAGGAGCAGCTGCGAGGATTCTGGTCTCTGAGCGCAAGGCTCTGCGCTTTCAACAAGACTTGGCAGCCACCAAAGAAGAGGCTCTCTCCATGATCCTTCGCTTCAAGCAAGCCATGGTCTCCAAGGTCAGTTACCCCCTTCTTTCTCTCTGCAATTACTCGTAATGAAAAACCATCTTTTTCTTTTTGGCCTCTGTGATTCTTTCAATGTTCATATCAGAACCTTTACATCCATTAAAGCTCGCTCCCATCTTCATCTTTCGCTTTTTTTTTAATCGTTTTTTTGACGTGTTTTGATAATTGATAGAAAGATTATTCCTTTACTTCATATTGTTCCCAACTCTGTTGTCTGATTCTTGTTCCTCTCATGGTTTCTCCTTTTTTCTTCTGGTTTGGGAAACAATGGGTGCATTTTTTTAAGTGAGGCTCCATTGCCCCCTATTCTTTCCATAATATCCCAAGATTGGTTTTTTTCCACTCTTTTGACTTGATTTGCGCTTTAATGGATACTTGACAATGGGTTAATCCTGTGCTCTGTAACATTTGGTACTGGTCTTTTGAATGCTTCTCAACTTTGGAAGTTGAAAATATGTCTGTAATTTATTTCTATTTTTCCCACTCATTTCTTTCCATTGTTCTGTTGCTTTGTTTAAAAAATATGCCACAGAAGTTCCTCGGTATGGGGGACTCTGATTCTAAGAGTAGAATATTTGCTCATCAAATTTTCTACTTACGTTAACAGCATTGTATTAGTCCTCACTGTCCACTACCCATACCTTGGATAGCTTTGAAAATCACCTGTCAACTGTAAAACTGTTCTATTGGTTTTTGAACCTAGGCTGATTTATGCTAGCCAGTTTGACATGAATGGCTGCGTACTTTTCTCTATCTTTCTCGTTTTTCTTAATCATTAAGTGGTTGTTCCCATTTTCAGATTGCTGAATCAGAGAGAGTGTCACTGGGACAGAGAAAAAGGATTCAAGAACTCGAGGCTCAGCTCAAGGATGCAAATGACACTGTAAGTGAACTCAGGATGAAGATTTCATCTGAAGGACTTGGCAAGATCAGTGGGCCATTGGATGAGCAGACTTCGAAAGGAAAGGCTGCTCAAGCTAAATGCAATGAAGAAATGCTTGGAACATCAGTTTCCTATTCACTCACTCTTGATAGTAATACCAAAGTGGCCAACTTTGACCCAAGGATCACAGACGGCACCTTGTTATGTAGGAATTCAACCACTGAGACTTTATTACAGGACAATTCAACTGTGGCTGATTGTGTTCATCCCAATGGCCCAGATTTTGCTTCGATAATTATGGGGAACAAGGAACCTGAGCTATTCAAAAATGGGTGCACACAACGAATCCGTGCATATGATCAAAATTTTATTGTATCCAAACCCGGGGGGAACGACAATAAATGCTCCCATTCTTTGAGTGATGAAATGGTACTCAAGGAGCAAGGGCAAATCAAACCAGAGGTTAGCGTCACTTCCCCTTCATTTCAGAACCCAACTCCACTCATGGACTTAGAGAAGTCAGTACAAAGTCCTGAGAAAGGGAAAGCCAGAAAGTTCTTCCACAGGGTTTCTTCAAGAAGGCGAAAGGGACGGCGTAATTATGTCAAAAGTGCTCATGTTGGGGCACTCTTTGATCAAGTTGAGGCAGTTGATGAAACTGCTTGCCCTCTTCCCTTGAAACCTTCTTCATCCTCGCAAAGCAATCTGATTGCTTTCAAGGATAACTTGGCTCAGGTTGTTATTAAAGAGAGTGCAGAAGACTCAGCCTCCCAATCTGAAAAAGAAAGGGATTCTGTCGAAGAGGGTAAAGCAGAGGCACCTGTTATGTCCATTGATGATCTTGTGGATCGAGCTGAGAATGAGAATTGTGAATTGCTTGATAACAAGATTTTAATTGATGGGAAGACTAATGATTCTGGTATTCCTACTGTGGACAAATCTCTAATGGAAACTAAAGATCTTGATGTTGTTTGCCCGGTGGAGAATCAAGTTCCACCAAAGATTTCTGAATATCATAATGAGGAATCCATTAAACCTGTTGAAGGTGGGAATGATAGGGTGCTAAAGTATACCTTTCGGAGAAAGCGCAAGAAGAAAGACTTTGCTATCGAGAATGAAATTATACTCCATGAAAGGAAGAGTAATTCAAAAAAGACAAGGACCACAGAGAAGAAATGCACTTTGCAGGTCCAGCCGAAGGCAAGGGAGTCCTCTCGTGACAATCGGCGATTGGCCCAGGTTGCTCGACAGGTTACCAAAATTTCCTCCCTATTTATCCCTTCTCTTATTAGTTTTACTTGTATAGGCTGAAAACTCTACGTGGTTTCTACAATAATGAAAGAGTAGAAGCCTCTATCGCTATGCATTTGAGTGCCCTTGAATTGTTGACTTTTTCCATTTTATGCTCATGCTATGTAACTGAATGGATATTGTCAATTCGTTTATTGTAGACAACAGACTAATATATTTGAAATCTGTTGAGAATAATAATTTTCATAATTATGTTGGCAGTTTGTTTGTCTGTGGTGACTGACTGGGTGATTCCTCTACTTGCAGCTCATTTCTTTGTCCGAGAAAAAGTGGGGTTAGTGTGGCTCTTCTCTTATGTCTGCTATTATCTTATGTCGGACCATAAAATAAAGCAATGCAGGTATATGATATAAAAAGGATCCTCTGCGGTGCAGTATGAGTTCTATTGCTTTCTTGGAGGGCATCCTAATGTATATGTCTTGTGTAAATCTTGGAATGCCATCCCTTCGGATTCAGACTGAGTTTTCTTGGAAGAGTGTCTTGAGAAATGTTTAGGGCTCTTTAAGTAAATTATATCTAGGTAAGTTCCAAGTAAATATCGATTTTGAGTTGGTCCCTCCTGCAATTTTTGTTTCATGTCCCTAAAGTTTATAAGTTGCTGCTCTTCAGACTTTAGCATCTCTGATGCTATTTGTAATGATATGCATATTAGATGTCTCGAGTAAAATGAAATGGGAGCACTCTTTATTTGTTGAAGATTATTGCTTCCATATCATGGTAGCTTATATTTTCCATATGTCTTTTTTTTTTTTAAATACTGCACAAGTCTTGATTTTACGAATTTTGGTTAAGTTGATAAATACTCTCTCTCTCTCTCTCTCTCTCTCTCTCTACCTACCACCACACACGTACGTATACTACTACTACTACCGTACCTACCTACCTACGTACGTAGTTAACGTTAACGTTAACGTTAACGTTACTTAACTTTAACTTTAACTTT